TGTTGATAGAGAAATTATCTGACCAACTTCCCCAGGAGTCTGCAAAAGCCAAAATTCTGTTTCAATCCACTAGGAAGTCACCAGAATGGGAGATATGATTTTAACATATCATATTAGGCTACAATCCTATATCACTTCTCTGGAATAAATCTTACTATATTTGGCGTAGATTTAATGAGGATAAAATATACCTAGCCAGGTTTCTTAAACTTTGCAGTACCCTGCCCTCATGAATAAAATGAATGGTTTCCTTGAGTCGAAGATTGGTCAAGAAATAAATAAGCCATTGACGCATAAGACACAACTCATTCAGAATATAGCTTCATAAATAGTTATGAGTCCACTTCTGCATGCACACAGGACACTCTGCTTTGCAAGCTGCAATCGTTACCAATCAATTTCCGGATGCAATTCAATATTATAGAGCCGAGGTGGTGCAGTGGTTAGGGTGCAGTACTGCAGGCCACTTCAGCTGACTGCTATCTGCAGTTCAGCGGTTCAAATCTCACCGGTTCAAGGTAGACTCAGCCTTCCATCCTTCCGAGGTGGGTGAAATGAGGACCTGGACTGTGGGGGCGTTATGCTGACTCTGTAAACCACTTAGAGAGGGCTGTAAGTCTAACTGCTATTGCTATTGCTATTATCTGCAGAGCACCTTCACGGCTTGGAGATTAGTTATGTATGGTACAGTGGTGGGTTGCCAATTTTTTTACTACCGGTTTGGGTGCGCTCCCATGCGTGTGACGCTTCTGCGCAGGTGGGCGGGTAGGTGGAGCCTCCTGCTGCCGCTACTACTGGAAATCTGGGCCTAACGGGGAACAACTCACCTCTGGTATGGTGCCACTTTTCCACAATTATCTCTGCCTCTCCTGTTAGGGACTTGATGATTGTGCTCCATGGCCTGTCAGCTGAACAGTGTCATTGTGTGGAACCCTAGAGGTGTGCTGTCTCTGCTGTCATTCCTGCCCCCTGGAATGCCCTTCTCCATTGTGAGGGTATTTTCCGTTCCAATTTTGCTATTCTGCGCAAAATCTTTTAAAGCTTGCCTTTCCCAAAAGCCCGAGGGAAGGGTGATCCTATTTGATAGATGTATCATCCATTAAATAGAATCTAATTATTGGATGACATATGGCTGGAATGCTTTTGTTCCCCAATTCACTCCTTTTTTTTTTTCATTTTATGATGATGTTTACCACTGTATGCTGCCTTGAATGTTTTATATGGCAGACATAGAAATTTATTTAGTAGTAGTAGTACTGGCATTGGGCTTGGAAAATAATACAGTTGAGCGAGCTCACATAATAAAATACAGGCTGGATTTGCACTGCAGACTAAGCAATAAGCTACAATATTACTTAGTAGAGTGTCCAAGCAGTGATAACTATTACTATTGTACCAGTGGTGGGTTTCAATTTTTTTTCGAACCTACTCTGTGGGTGTGGCCTCCTTTGTGGGAGTGGCTTGCCGGCCATGTGACCTGGTGGGAGTGNAAGGCTTGTGGACTTCAATTCCCAGAATTCCCCAGCCAGCTGGCTGGGGAATTCTGGGAATTGAAGTCCACAAGCCTTAAAGTTCCCAAGTTTGGACACCCCTGCACTAACCCCGTACCCTGAGACCCCGCCCCTTTAGGGGAAGAGCTAGACCGCCTCCCCTTTTCCATTGGTTGCTAGGCTTTTTAAAAAATCCCTTAGGCCCCCTCCCTTAGCAACTGCATTCGCTCCGGCTCCGGGATTGGCTGCCGCGGGGCCAATGATGTCCGCTTTTTACAAATGTAGCAATTTTCAAATCCGCGTTTTGTGCAGCGAAGAAAAGGAAGGACGGGAAGGAAGAGGAGGCGGCGGAGGCGACTTTCCGCAGCGGCTTCAGCTCCAGGTGAGTTTTGCTGGGGGAGATCGGGACTGGGGGGCGCCTTTACCGGCGCGAGCCCTTCATCTTCGCCTCCCTGAGCCCCGCCACGCGGCTGGGCCTCGGGTGGCCAGGCTGGGCCCCGGAGGTCCTCTCCTGAAGCCGCCGAGAAGAGGCGCCCGGACCTTCGCCTGCCCGTTCCGCGGGGGTTTCCAGCTCCCGCTGAAGTCGCCCGTGTGGGAGTTAAAGGGAGGGCGAAATTCCTGGTTCAGAGCTGCAGCCGCTTCCCCTGTCCCAGCCCGTTTCTCTCCCCCTTCTGCAGCCCTGCGACGGGAGGCCCTCCGCTGGAAGGATGCCCGCTGCGCGCAGCTCCAAGGGCTTGGCTGGCAAGCAGGCCCGATCCGGCCGAGGAGCAGGCCTGGAAAATGTGCAAGCGGACAAGGTGAGCCAGAGGCCACTCCAGCCAAGAGGCGTACTAATCCCACACGTGCGCGCGCGTGCGCGTGGGTGTGGGCATGGGTGGGCGTGTTGGGTCAAATCCCACCCCTGCAAAATAAACTTTGGGCATTCCCTGGAAAGGAACCTTGCCTTTGGCCTCAGGTGGCATTAGTCTGCCCCCAGGCACTGCACTGAACGGCCTCCCGATTCTGCTTTGATTCTAGGAGGAGATTTCTCAGGCCAAGCGATCCCCCTCGTCACCCCAGGGGGCACCCAGGAAGCGATCGGCCTTTGGCGATATCACCAACGTAAGAAGCATGGGTCCTTGTGCGTTGCCCGCCTTGCCTGCTGCCCCTACCTTTGATGGCTCAGCAGCTCTGGGACGGGAACCCCAAGCACGCGCCCGCTGGGTCTGGGGGTGGTGCTGAGCCACTCCTCTGGGTCTCCCCCTTACAGGCTCACAAGGCCCAGAGCTTTGTAGGGAAGAAGGAGCCGGAGAAGGCGATCCCCAAGAAGGCCTCCAAGGGACCCACCGCGGTGAATGTGGCCAAGAACAATGAGACCAACCTGAAGAAGTGAGGGTTGCCCCTTCTGCCCATCTGACTTTGCCGGTGGGCCAATGTTCCCCTTGGCATCCTCCGATTTCCAGTGGCTTCAAGGTGCATTTGTAAAAGGATGGCAACTTCAGTGCCCTCCTTTAAACCAAAGCCATGCTGGCACAGCTGCCATTCTGTTCTCGCCAGCCTGGATGCAACCCCAAAGCTTTGGCAGAGCTCGATTGGCTGTGCCAGCAAGTCTCCAGTGTGTTGTTAATTGAAGGCTGGGGATTCTCCAATTCTTGCCAGTCTGGATGTTGCCTCCAGCCTGCCCCAATTTCTAACCCCAGCCACCTCTTCCAGGTCCCTGGAGAAAGCGCCCTCCGAGGACAGCCCGGCTAAGCTGAGCCATACGGTCAACAGCGGCCTCGGAGAGGAGCCGGTCGACCCACCGGCGGTGGTGGTAGCACCAGCAGAGCTGGTAAGGAAGCAGTGCGTTCGTGGATCCCTCTGGCAGGGCCTGCCTCTGGGGCACACGGCTCCCCTGCAGGCGGGTAGCCTTGGTATCTTGGGCTCAGGCTGTCATCCTTGGGTGGCCTGGGGACTACGTTGGCAGCCCGAGATTCACTCTTTGCTTTGTGGCTGACCCTGCAAATGGGGGAGGGGGCGCTTGTGGAGGGCAAGGTATATGGGGCTGCACACCAAGGGCTGCCCTCCATTTTAGGGCCAAGGAGGCTCCTGCCCCCCACCCCAGGCAGGGCAGCGTTTAAAGGCGTCTCTCTCTCTTGTCCAGGTGGCTCCAGCTGAGGACATCGACAAGGGGCAGCTGGATGACCCCTATGCCAATGCTGAGTATGCCAAGGACATCTTCGACAACATGCAGGAGCGAGAGGTGCTTCCCGGTGGCCAGGGGATGGCTGCCCTTCCGCTGCTGGGCCTGGCCGGAGAAGAGGGCAGAGCAGGGAGCGCTGAGGGAGAAGCCCACTGCGGCCCCTCGAGTAGAGGGGCTTCTGGGGGCTTCCCTTCCCCTCCCTCAGCAACACCGTCCTTTTTCAGAAGAGCTTCCTGCTCCCGGACTACATGAAGGACCAACCGGACATCACCACGGACATGCGGGCCATCCTGGTGGATTGGATGGTGGAGGTGCAGGTGAGAGTGGGTCTGCAGGAGAAGGGCCTGGGTGGCTGTGGGCAATGCGCTCTACATGGGGCAGCCCTTGAAGAGTATTCGGAGACTTCCAACTCGTCCAGAACGCAGCCGCGCGAGTGATTGTGGGTGCTCCTCGGTCCACCCACGTTACTCCTATCCTCCGTGAGCTGCACTGGTTACCAAT